TTTAATATAATAATTTAATATTAATATTTAATAAATTTGCCAAAATCACTATATAATAATAGTATTTGATAATTTTATTTTTACTAATCATTAAGTATTGATAAATTTTTTATTTAATAGTTTAAAAGTAATTATTAGTGATTAGAACTTAATTTATTAGTGAATTAAAAAAATTCTTAAAACACTTTTCTCACTCTAAAGTCTAAACACTAACGGAATTAAAATTTTGAAATTATTATTATAATAAGTTTTCCTTTAAAAATAATGCTTGACCTTCTCCATTTTTACCAAAGGTGAGGTAAGTCCATTATTGCTCTTTTTTTTTTTCCTTTTTAAAAAAAACAAAATGAAAAATTAAGAAGTTTTTGATATATCAGAACTTTCATCAAATCATTTATTGTGTGAATTTTAAATAATGTGAATCTCAATTTAAAATTCACACAATAAATAATTTGATAGACATTTTTACATATCAAGACTTTTTAATTTTTTGAGAAGCTTTTCATTGCTTGAGTCTCAATTTAAAATTCACACAGTAAATAATTTAATAGACATCTTAACATGTCAAGATTTCTTAATTTTTTTTGAGAAGCCTTTAAGAAAAAGAAAAACTTATAACTCTTTTACAATTCAAAAATACTATTCTGTAATCTGTTTTATATAGTTTGTATTTTTCTTAACCATCGATAAAGGCGTAGGCTTTTGAAACTTTGACGACGTATTATCCGTGACAGCCAGTCTTATCACCGTCCGATCAGATGAAACAAGACAGCGCCGTTTGTGACAATAAAAACAAAATGGCCCAAGGTGACGTTATCGCGTTCTAACATTTTGTGGGATTAAAATATCTGGTAAAATCAATCTCAATCAGCAAAAGTACTAGCGGTTTTTCCGGTGCAGGGACGGGGGATAAGCAAAAGCTGATGCTTTGACACGCGGAATTTCCTCTGCTGTCTGATCACTCCCCAACGGCTCTGATCGAAACTTTTTTTTCCAGTAGATTCACTGTAAATTTTAAACTCAACTGTAGAGAAGCGCCCCCAGAGAAAAATTTTCCAATTCCTGCCTTGTTTTTTAGTCTCTCTCTTCAGGTTCTGGGACAGTTTAAGTTAGAGAGGTAATTTTATTTTATTTAAAATTTTTCTTTTTCTGTTTTCTTAGGTTTTCTATGGTCATAAATGGGCATAATGAAGATTGCAGGGGCCGTGGCGGCGTTGCAGAAGTTCTAATTCTGTGCATTACTGTTTCCAGGTTGGAATTCAAAAATAAAGTTGGAATGTTTTTTTTTTTAAATGGTAAAGTAGGAATTTTTTTTTTTTAAAATAATTTGTAATTATTTATAGATTTAACTGAGAGAAAAGGAAAAAAGATTTTGAAAAGTTTGAACGTACAATCCAGGGAGATGATCAATCCTAACTCAAGATCCGATGTCATTAAACTGGAGTTGATCGTTCAAGCATAAATGGTTTTTGACCCTAATAGAAATGAAACTCTTTATATTGTGAGTTTCTTAATAATTACCGTCAAATAATAATGTTTTTTTTTACCATGCATTAAGATTGAGAATGATAATTTTTTTTGAGACTTTTTTTGATGGTACAATTGTTGTTATAATAATTTTATACTTTGTCTATTTCATTTTCTAGGAGTTCATTGCTATGATTAAAAATATCATGTCTCTCTCTCTCTTCTTTCTTTTTTTAACTATAGAGTATGGAGTTAGTTTAACAATGACTAGCTATCTTAAGTAAATTTATTTTAAAAAAATAAATACATAGTATTAATTTAGACATTATGTTAATTAAAAAGAATTTATAATTATACATTTATCATATTATAATTATAATTGTAAGATTTTGTTATAAAATAAAGTTATAATACAAGAACCATTTTTCATGGTCTAAACATTTTTTCGAGTAAAATAAGGTGTGTAAAACAAGCTGAAAGAATTTTTTATTTTTTGGTTTACAAAAAAGGATCATTATTAAATTAGAAGATGGTTTGGCCGTGTAAACTGTAAAGTTAGGTTTTGAACCTGAATTGCTTATATTTTAAAGGCGTTAGAATTTCCGCCTAACTATTGCAAGTAAAAAGTTATACAGTATTAAATGAAAAAGAGAAAAATCAAATTACCACTAGTAAATAGTTTCTTCAATTAATTGAGTGAGAGAGAGGTCAGAATCAGAAACAAAGATCAGGTCAAAAAACAAACCCAACAAACACTCACAGACTCACAGTCTCTTAAAAACCCACCAGAAAAAGCTTCCAGAGGCTCAGAACCCATAAAGACCCAGAAATCCTAGAGGTACTGATCTTGGGGTGTACTAAATAGGGTGTTTCTGCTATGGATTTTTGGTCCAAAGTGGGGTTAGCATCAGCTTTTGTTTGTGAGAAATGGCAGGCTTCTATCTAGGTGGAAGAGAAGAGAAAACAGAAAAAGAAGAGAGCTTATATCTGTACAGAAACGAAGAGATCTACAACAAACAGGGGTTTGAGATATGGCCGCAGTGTTATCAGCAAAGTTTGAGCAACTTCTCCTCCTCGTTTGGAGTGGGTCCTAGTCGGAGAAACTTTATCGTCTCAGATGATACAAGATCGTCCTCGTTGATGAGTAGTCGGCAAGGCGGCATGAACTGCCAAGACTGTGGAAACCAAGCTAAGAAAGACTGTGTCCATTCGAGATGCAGAACTTGTTGCAAAAGCCGCGGGTTCCAGTGCCAAACCCACGTCAAGAGCACTTGGGTCCCCGCAGCTAAAAGGCGCGAGCGCCAGGAACAGCTTGCAGCTTTACAACAGCATCAACAGCAGCAACAACAACAATTACATCCTAAAAGGCAGAGAGAGAATCAAGGCGCTTTGTCATCCTCTCTCGCCTGCACTCGTTTTCCCTCTTCAACGTCAGGTAAAGTTGTAGTTTTCAATACAAACAGAGAACGAAACAAGGATTTTCAAGAAGCTGCATAATTGTACCAAAATAAAGTTTGATTTCATCAGATCTGTTGGAGAATTTTGTACCCAACAAAATCATATCCTTTGCGTGTTTGAGAGCATGTCCTCTCTTCTCCTCCATATATACTCCACAGTCATGATCTACCCACTTGCTTTTCTTTTCTCTTTTCTTCTTTTCAATCCATTCCTTGCACTGTTCCCTGGTAAAACTGACGAAAAAAGAGAAAGGAATCTACATAAAATCCTAATGTAAGGATCTGTATGGAAATTTTTATTTTCTGCTCTTGATTTCTCATGATTTTGAAAAAAAAATTTGAATTAGGGTTGGAACTGGCTCAATTTCCGCCGGAAGTAAATTCGCCAGCTGTCTTCCGGTGTGTAAAAGTAAGCGCGATGGACGATGAGGATGAGGAGTACGCGTATCAAACGGCTGTGAACATTGGAGGACATGTGTTCAAAGGAATTCTATATGACCAAGGTCCAGAAGGTCGTTACACCAGCAGCGGCGGAGAGAGCTCCCATCAGCAGCTTAACCTGATCACTGCCGCCACCACAACCACTGCCACCACAACCACTGCAGCCACTTCCAGCAACCCGGGTGGTGCCAATTTTCTTGACCCTTCTCTATACCCAGCTCCAATCAACGCTTTCATTGCCGGTACGCAATTTTTCCCACCTCCAAGGTCATGAGAAAAAGCCGCTTCCATTTGATATCAGATTTTCTAGATTGTTCTTATTGCTGTTTTAGAAAACATAGAAATGAGGATAGAAACCTGAGATTGCATATGATATGGTGGATGTTTCGAATTTCAATTCAGATTTTCTGTGGTTTTTGATTTTAGTGTACTTTTTTGTGTAGCATGTGTGGATGTGTGTGCTTTTGTTCCATTTTTTTCTTTTTCTCTTTTTTGTTTGGGTTTGATATTGAAGTTGCTTTCTGGCTGGTGTTGAACTCGAAGCCGCTTTTTTCCCATTTATCCGTTTGCTTGCCGGATGGGAAGAAATAGATTTCGTGTGTCGTTAAGCAAAGAATTTCAAACATTCTTAGTCTTTCTCTCTCTCCAAACAGAGGAGAAGAAAGCCAAAAAAAAAAAGGGGCCCTTGAAGGTTTGCATGTATTGGATGAAGAGTCTCAAAATAATTTCTTGATTAATTTGTGTATTATATTTGTACATATATAGGCACTATAAGGATTATATATATGTTCCTTTTGTATTTAGAATGTAATTCGAATTTGAAAATTTTTAGGATGTTATGTTCATTAACTAAAGTATAACTTATATCGGTATCTTTAAACATACATAAATAAATAGAATAGATGAATTAACAGCGAATTTATGCCAACTACCTTCGCTGCAAAACAATAAAAATTTAGGTGGTTGAATAGATGTGCATGAATGTAAAATGGGAAAATGAACCCCATTGCTCTCACAATTTGATGGTAAATGTTAAAATTAATGCTCCTGCAGGAGTTAACCTGCATGTGATCATTATGTATTTTAGATGAGGACGAACAATAATACATATATAGGGGAGAAGGTTCATAGCCATAGGGGTGGGAAGGGTTCATATAGATCTAAGTATGATTCCAGATCTCTCTGTGATGAAAACTTACCCTAGTTTTGTACAAAATTTGACCTATTGCATGTGCTCTCATCTCTCATGACCCAAATACTTATAATTACTGATGCAGTCTCTCTTATAGAGAGCTATAATATATAGGCCATTCTTCTTCGGCTATTTTCTGAGGAATTTAAGAAGGTTTTGAAAGTTTATTAGTTTGTTCTATTATCAGAGAAAGAAACTGTAGATCAATTTAATTAATGACTGAGTCAGACATTTTTGTTATCATTGAGGGTTTCTATATATTGGGTTCATTACACTAGTTTGCACTACATACCTATGTGATAGAACTAGATGATTCTGAAAAGAATCTGCTGCCGGCTAAGCTTGATCCATTTTTTAATTTGAAGAATATATATAGTCAGAAATCTTTTGCATGCACATACTTAAAAACTAGGAATTAATCGCGAAAGAGCTTGATATACATGGTATATATTGTCAATATATTCATCAACTGCGAAATTAAAGAAACTGAAGGAAAATACTTGTAGATAGCATGGTTGTCTAGCCTGCAGCAGAGATGACTTGAAACATTATATGCATGTTATGTGTGTTAATTTTTCTTCTTAATTGCACCAGTGATGCATGCCTTGCTCCTTGCCTATGATTTTCCTTGTGCGCAGTTCCTTCAGTGAGCAGCGTATGTGGGGTCAGTGTGGTGTCTATGTATGCACGAACATTGTATATATGTGTGTGCATGCCTGATCTAAAATGCAGACAAAATATATATGAGTAATTAATTAGGAGCTTCTTAATTAATATCTGCGGTAATGATTAAGGTTTTTTTTTTGAACAGCGAAAATGATATTTATTATTAATGATTAAGGTTGCTATTTAATTAATTTGAAAATTGAAATTAGGGTTCTAGCTATTAGCTATTTCTTCTTACGTTTGATTTTGCTTTAATATAGCTTAATTTGGATTAGCTGTTCCTCAACCGGGGGAACCTCGAGGCGAGCGAACAAAGGTTGGTTCTTTATTAAAATCTGTTTCCTTTTCTTTTCATGAAAAGAGGTAGAAGGCACCAAATCGAACCGACCAAAAACCTCTTCTGAGTTTTTGAAATAGTTAAAGTCCTCCCAAAAGAAAAAAGGATGCCAGCGGAACACCATTAGACATGACTAGTTAAGGTCGGTTGTCTATACCCCATCTACTCATGAAGAAAAAGATCAAAAAGAAAAGTTAAAAAGGAAAAGCTAAAGAGTTAAAATCATGATCTCAACACAAAACCCCGAAAAAGATAAAAATGACATGACTTATTAGGTAGCTAGAAAATAGTAATACTTATAACAATGAAATTTCCTCTTATCATCATATCTCAACCTCAAACTCTAAAGCAATTATCTAATGTTTTTACTAATTTGTGTGTTTAAGTGCTTTTTTATTATATGTTTTTATCATTAGTACCTATAAAAACTAAAAATTAATATTAATTTTATTAATTATTTAATTAAAAATATTCATAAAATATGATTGTTAAAATTAGGAAAAGTAATTAATATATTTTTTGGTCTAACACATCTTTTAACACTTATTTATTTAATTATTAAATTTTGTAATTTTTGATTTTATTGTCTTTAATTTAAATTTAAAAATAATAATTTTTTAATAAATACATTAAACCAAAAAGTTTACTAATTATTGTTTAAAAATTACTATTAATATTTTTTTATATAATTTAATGTTTAAAAATATATTTATTATATTTTTAGAAATAGAAGGATCATTGGTCTAAGAAGGATCATTGGTCTAAAAATCATAGCTCTTTCTTTTTTAGTAGTGGGATTTGGGGAAGAGAAAAATACAAAAGCCGAAAACTTGAGATCACTTTATAACTCCCAACATCCTAACATTAATGGAAGGATATTTGCTGTCTTCTTGAAAATGGATTACTTTTAAGATTTGTTCATGCTTAAAACTAACCATCCATATAAGTACAAAATTTGTTTTTCTAATGGGTGTTTTCAACATGTTATGACATGTATTAATAGTGTAAATAATATATTTTTTAACACTAATTAATATTAAAAATATTAATTAATAAATATATATTGATTATACATTTAACGAGCCAAGAAAAAACCCGTTACCAATAAAAAGAAGCAGTGTTAAACCGCAAACTCAACCATTAATTAGAGAGGAAGTGACTGGTATTCCTTGAAAGAAAATGGACACTGTAGTCTGGTAGTTTGTCAATCCAAAGGACCATCAATTACAGGACCTACAGGAGAAGATTGGTCCCGCAGTGCAGAAAGAAGAGCCAAAAGGGCAGAGAGGCAAGGGCTGGGTTTTCTTGCGGTAGGCGCTATGCGTAGGTTTTGTGAAATATATTATAGCGAGCATGCGAATCTACCCCTCTACTGGCGTTCTGGACGCAAGTTTATCTGTGTGTGGTCCTGACAAAGAAACAGTCAGTGATTTTCATCACGGTGTCTAATGGTTGCGGTTCCCTACATCGGAAATTTGCAGCGAACAGCGCCCTGTTCCATGTAAGGCCATTGGCATTCGCTGCTGCGCTACTAATTAACAACTGAAGCACGCCTGCTGGGTTTCAGCAATATGGAGCAGCATAACTCGGCAGCCTTTTTATTAGTTTCCGTGTATCAATTAAGATTGTTCAGACGCGTTTGAAGTTCCCGACACGCATATCCCAAAGACTGCTCCACTGTTTCAATTCTTGTGGACATAATTAACTGGACAGGAGTTAAGTCCCAAATCTAAAATCCCAATATTAAATAGAGAAGAGTGTTTCGTGACAAAATAGTTTTATATTATATTTACGTGAGGGGAAATAATTGATAATTTTTTGAATTAATATAATTTTTTTATATTAATTTAATTTAATTATTAAAATATAATATAAATAAAATCAATTTAATTAATTTAACTGATTCTTTCATGTTATGTGTATGATTGTATTTTAAATTTATCTATTTTAAATTTGGGTTAATATTTGTTCGTCTTATTTCCAAAAAAATTAAGAGGAAAAAGAAAATAAAAAACATTTTAATTCATACTTTAAAAATATAATATTTTAGTCTTTTTCGATATGTGTTTATTAAAATTACATAATTTTAGAGTAATATTCTTCTTAATCTTTAAGAAGTAAGGTAGATAAGTACTATTATATTTTAATTTTAATTTAAAAAATACTATTTTTAATAATTATTGTGTAATGTATTAAATCAAAAAATATATTTATTGTTGTACTAATCAAGGTAACTATGTGATTTATGGTCTTATGTTTTGAGATGCATTTTATTTAAGTACCTAACATTAGGTGAGGAACTATTTGCTATTGATACATGCACAAATTCCAGTTTGGAGCTCATAGAGCTGTAAAAGTAGGAGAAAGTCTGCTATATTTCTAGGATATATAGAAGATATGGTATCCCAAACCAATAAAAAAACACTACATTAGTTTTTTTCACACTTCATCAATTATTTAATGGAGAGGAAAGTTAGTGTAGTGATTGTAATTTTACGTTAAATCACGATATCATGTCTATTATATCCTAAAGATACAACAGACTTTCTCAATAACACTCTTATGTCTTGGTAATTCAAGTGGTCAACTAGCAAGCTTATTAGTTAGGTTTCATTTAACTATGCTTCTCGCTTTTTTAGCTTTTGATTATATTTTAAAATATAGAAAATATTAATCATAATAAATATTAAATATATTCAATATATTTTAAAGATATTAAAAAAAAACATACAATTGCATTTATAGATCAATACTGTCAAATTAAACATTAGTTAGGAAGTAAAAGTACCTTAGTGTTTGGATGTGGGAGATATTTATAGATTTTCCTCAATGAGCGTATTCTCCATTCCTCTAAACTTGTTTTCTCTGTACGTGTCATACACTGGTTAGATCTCTGGATTCGTTAGAGAAGTTCCTGTTCTTGGGCTTTTGAACCCTTTTGTGGGTACAATTGTTGGGCTTGTAATCCTAACTCCTTCATTTGAAATTTTACCACAATGCTTTTTTTAGGTGGGTGTGGTTCAGATTCACTTACAATCAAAACTTAATTATTAATTAATTAAAATTTTAGGTTTTAAATTTTAGCAATCATTAACCAAATTTTTTTAAAAGAAAAAAACAGATTTTATTGGTTTCGGTAACACTTTTGAGAGTAACTATTTATATCAGTTTTAATTTTAACCAAAAAATTATTTTTACATTTTTTAGTGATTTTTTAATTCTTTAATTATTATTTTATTAATTTCAATTACTAAAAATTAAAAATTACCCATATAAATAAATAATTTAGTAAAAAGTGACTAGAAATTTTTCAAAAAAATCTAAAAACCATTAAAATTTTATATAAAAAGTTTTTGGGTCAAATTTTTTTGTTATATCCATCTTAGTTATTGGTCTTCTAATTTTTAAATTAAAAAACTAAAACTTAAACCATTTAAATCGGTTTGGATCGGTTTTTAGTCAAATAAACTTAAAACTCAGTTAAACTCTACCAATCGATTATGGTTTCATCAATTTTCAATTTTTTTTTTGGTATTACAAATTTTTTAACCCACCCCTACTTTTTTGTATCCAACATTATTAAAATTGATAATTTTATTATAATTAAATTAATTTTAATTAATATTATATACAATATATTTTAATAATTATATAAATGTATAATACTATTAAAAATGATTATCAAACACTAATTGAAATAGTTTTATGATAATAGTACAATACAATAAATGTCACAACTAAAACACTACACTACCACACTATACGTCTAGACGCACAACAATCCAACCACAGCCTTGGTATATAATTAAAGATTTTACACAAGCAACAAACCCAATAAATACTTGGAATACTTTGACAAACCTATAGTTGTTGCGAGTTTATAAGACACCAAATTGTTATAAAATGAAGTTTAGGAACTAGGTCGTTCGCTGTCTTAAAAGCTTTAGGCACCCAAAGACAATGAGAAAAGAGAAAAGGACTTTTCTGTTAATATTTAATAATTATTTGGACAACGTTGCGAAATTGGCCTTTATTAAGGACCAAGAAGACAATTTATCCGTTGAACTTTAGGTGTAATGGACGGTGTCGTATGATTCTTTCCTTGCCGGTCGCTAAAATATCGCGCGTGAAAAGTAGGCGGAAAGCGTAAACATTATATACGGAAAGTGAAAAAAACAAAGAGGTTACCATTGGTCGTTGGTAATGGCGTCTGAGGGTTGATCTCCGGCGTATCTCTCCGGCGACGCGTCCGCTAGCTGTGCATTTTCCGGCATTAAACATTTGGTTTGGTTTATATGAAATTTGCTCGATTTTTTTTTTCTATAAAATTATAATAGATTTGTGTAATTATGGGGGAGGGAAGGACTTCTCCGACGATGGATCTGCTGAGGTCGGAGCCGATGCAGTTGGTGCAACTGATTATTCCGATCGAGGCAGCTCATCGCACAATCTCCTATCTCGGCGATCTCGGTCTCTTCCAATTTAAAGATGTAAGTTCTATTTCCAGCCTCTATTCCTATTTTTGTCCAATTCAATGTAGGAAACAAAAAAAAATCCTGAATTTTTGGTTCTCATTTCTTCTGAATTACTTATTGTTTCAATTGCTTCAATTGCACTGAATTGCAATGTTATTTACAAAATTTTGAGAGCATTTCGTTGCATTGTGAGTTTTGAAATGTTTATCTTGGTGGAAGTTGATCCTGTTTCAGTTTTAGATCTGTTGATCTAATGCCTTTGGTGTCTTCTCCCTTTTTTCCTTCCAGCTCAATGCTGAAAAGAGTCCTTTTCAACGAACATATGCTGCTCAGGTGCGCGTTTATATTTTCCGGTGAACATTTACTTTTTATATAGTTGCTAATTATAACTAGGTTTAATTGGAAAAAGATTAAGGATTTTCTCTTATTCTTTCCTAATTTACTCTCCATGTAGAGCCACTTATTCTGATTTTCGACCTCGATCCATTAGTTGATTCTGTAGGTTTTCATTGTCTATTCAAATGATTTATATGCTAAAAAAGTTTATCATGTTTATGCATTCTTCTATTATCATACAGTTAAAGAGATGTGGGGAAATGGCTCGTAAGCTACGGTTCTTCAGGGATCAAATGACCAAGGCTGGTTTGTCACCACCAGCATGGTGTTCAAGAAGTGATGGGATTGATTTAGATAGCTTGGAGGTATGCTAGACATGTGATTGTATTCTTTGTTTATAAAGCCTTTCATTGTTGTAGATAAAGAGAATTCTATTGTGGTATGTTCTAGGTGAAACTTGGGGAACTTGAAGCAGAGCTTATAGAGATGAATGCAAACCACGACAAGCTAAAACATGGTTACAGTGAGCTGTTAGAATATAAGCTAGTTCTGCAGAAGGCTGGTGAGTTTTTTCATTCAGCTCAAAGCAGTGCAGCTGCTCAGCAGAAAGCAGTTGATGCACAGTACAGTACTGAAGGATCCATTGACAGTCCATTACTATTGGAGCAAGAAATGGTCACAGATCCATCAAAGCAGGTTAAGCTGGGGTATGTCAGTGGCCTTGTTCTAAGGGAAAAAGCAATGGCTTTTGAAAGGATTCTGTTCCGAGCAACCAGGGGAAATGTTTTCTTGAGACAATCTGTGGTTGAAGAGCTTGTCATTGATCCTGCTTCTGGAGAGGAGGTTAATGCCTAAATTTACTTCTATAGATTCTAAGCTTCTTAATTTGGCACACTTGTTTTATATCCTGTACACAATTTCTTTTTCATTATTTTTTTACCAAACAGCAAGTTTTCATATGGGATAAATTCATATACTGTGTCTACATATGCTTGTTATGCTTCTCTTGTTTTCTTCTTGTATCTCTGTTCAGAAAAAAGAGTTTTTTAGCCCTTTTGTGATTGCAGGTTGAGAAAAATGTGTTTGTTGTCTTCTTCTCTGGTGAAAGAGCAAAGAACAAAATTACGAAAATATGCGAAGCTTTTGGAGCAAACTTATACCCCTTCAAAGAAGACCTAGGAAAACAATTTCAGATGATTACAGAGGCATGCTTTTTCCCTTTTCTGGTACCAATGCCTTGCATCCTCTTGGTCATCTGAAATCATTCTGATTTTTGTGATGCTCCAATTTCTAGGTGACTGGAAGACTTGAGGAGCTAAAAACTACCATAGATGTTGGACTTGCGCACCATAGCAATCTGTTACAGACAATTGGCTATCAATTTGAGCATTGGAACATTTTGGTTTGTTTAAATTAGTTCTTTCTGATAAACATGCATCGGCTTGCTTTTCTCCTTCATGTTCTGCTCAAAATGTTTAAAATCACAAATGTGGTTTGGTTTCCCATTGCTGAGTTACTGAACTTCATCTCTTCTCACTCACATAGGCAAAGAAGGAAAAATCCATATATCACACTTTGAATATGCTTAGCATAGATGTAAGCAAAAAATGTCTTGTTGCAGAAGGCTGGTGTCCTGTTTTTGCAACAAATCAGGTTGGTTCTTTTAACCTGTAGATATATTTTGTTGATGCTGCATTAATTCTGTCAAATCTTCCTTTTTTCAGCTTGAAACAAGTATTAAATTTTATAATATTGATTTTGCAGATTCAAAATACTTTACAGCGAGCAATGATAGACAGTAACGCTTTAGTTGGACCCATTTTCCATGTTCTGAAGACAAAGGAATCACCACCCACCTATTTCCGTACAAACAAATTTACTTCTGCTTTTCAAGAAATTGTTGATGCATATGGGCAAGTCATTATAATATTTAATTGATATTTTATGTAGATGTAATTATTTTACTTTGTCAAAGCCCCAGTTGAGTGGTTTTTTATCTTTACATGTTGTGTATATTTCACCATTTTAACTTTATTTCATGTTGTCATGTTTTTCTTTAGTAGGTTAAGTTGACTTGTTATTCTTTGCAGTATAATACTAACACAATAAAATATCTTTACAGGGTTGCTAAGTATCAGGAGGCAAACCCTGGTGTGTACACAATCATCACATTCCCATTCCTTTTTGCTGTGATGTTTGGTGACTGGGGCCATGGTATATGCTTATCTCTAGCCACATTATATTTCATAATCAGAGAAAAGAAATTTTCTAGTCAGGTAACTGGTTAATTCGTTTCCTGCTACTTTGGCAGTGAGCCTCATGCTCCATGTAACTGAAGAATGTCTTCTGCTCACATTATTTCATTTTTCATCATTAACAGAAGCTAGGAGACATCACAGAAATGACATTTGGAGGTCGCTATGTTATTCTGATGATGGCATTGTTCTCAATCTACACTGGATTGATATATAATGAATTCTTTTCTGTCCCTTTTGAACTATTTGGGCCATCTGCTTATGCATGCCGTGACCTTACCTGCAGGTATTTACTTTTTTTGTAAGCAGATGGATAGAAACCCAAAAATCTTCTCGGCTGAGTTAGTTAGAATTCATTTTTCTTCATTCAGGGATGCTTCTACAGAAGGTTTGGTCAAGGTTGGTCCCACTTACCCATTCGGTGTGGATCCTAAGTGGCATGGTACTAGGAGTGAGTTACCATTTCTGAACTCATTGAAGATGAAGATGTCAATTTTGCTTGGAGTAGCCCAGATGAATCTCGGAATTATTCTAAGCTACTTTAATGCTAAATTTTTTCAAAATGAGATAAATATCTGGTAAGCCATTTTTGGATTGTTTTATTATTTCATGCTTGTCCATACAAATAATGAGCAGAAGTCTCTTCTCTGTCTCAATCTTTTGAGGCAGTTATTGTTCATGTTGCATGTCTGCACAATCTTTTTAAGAAAAGATAGATATATTTGTGTCCACAAGTTTGCATTTATATGCGAAGATGCATGGGCCATGATCAGATGTAGTATTTGATTTGCTGCACACATCTTCAATTCTCCTGTTCCTTCATGTCTTAATTTTGACTAAGTAAATTTAATCGCGACATTGCTTTAGGTACCAGTTTCTTCCCCAAATGATATTTTTAAACAGCCTGTTTGGCTACCTGTCACTCCTCATTATTGTAAAATGGTGCACTGGTTCACAAGCTGATCTTTATCACGTGATGATATACATGTTCCTGAGTCCCACTGATGATCTCGGTGAAAATCAGCTTTTTGTTGGCCAGAAGTTTCTTCAGGTTTAATCTTTTGCATAATCATTATCATAGCATTTATTTTCCATATCTGGTACCTGAAGTTAGTGTCTCTGGTTTCTTTACCAGATTTTGTTGCTGCTGTCGGCCCTTGTTGCTGTACCATGGATGCTGTTTCCAAAGCCTTTTCTCTTGAAGAAGCAAGACCAAGAGGTATGCCTTGCAACCCCTAACAGATATAAAACACAATCTTTTACAATATATTGAGTGTGGTGCAGCTTTTCATTCATTCATTCACATTTCTTCTTTCAAACTCAACCAAGTCTCTGTTTTTTTTTTTTTTTTTATTTGACAATATCCTACCATACAATTTCTTATTGCTGCAGAGGCACCAAGGTCAATCCTATGCATTGCTTCATAACTCAGATGACCCTCTTGAAATGGAACCAGACCATAAGTCCAACAGCCACGAAGAATTTGAGTTCACTGAGGTATTCGTACACCAACTTATACATACTATAGAATTTGTGCTTGGAGCAGTGTCCAATACAGCATCATATTTACGGCTGTGGGCCCTCAGGTAGGTTGTTAGAAACTTAACATCACTTTATATAATTGGGGTTCATCCCTTTGGTATGGATATTTGCTCATCTTGTCTGCTCGGTTTTGGTTTTCAACAGTTTAGCCCATTCGGAGTTGTCAAGTGTGTTCTATGACAAGGTTTTGCTTCTTGCCTGGGGGTAAGTCCACTTTTGTATTTGTGTTATACTGGACAGGACTTGGGATTTAAACTGGTGGCAAAAATATTTTGGGATTATTGAAAAAACAAGATAATTTTATTTGTGATTATATTGCAGGTTCAACAATGTCATTATCCTTATTGTCGGTGTTGTTGTGTTTGTATGTGCAACTGTTGGTGTACTGTTAGTTATGGAAACCCTCAGCGCATTCTTGCATGCACTAAGGCTTCACTGGGTGGAGTTCCAGAACAAGTTCTATGAGGGAAACGGTTGCAAATTCCAACCATTTTCATTTGCGCAACTTAAGGATGATGATGAATGAAGAACTGCTTAACACTGTCACTGGCTAACGGGTTGTGTACAAAATTCAATCATATTAAATTTGTTGTAGCATAGAAAATAGTCAAAATTGTTTATTGGACCAGAAATTTTGGAGACAACGTCGAGGTAAGGAGCCTTGAGTACTGGTTTGGTTAAATACGTATCATCCGGGTCAGTCAAATTGCCAATGGAACTTCGTACTTAGTTGTGGGTTTGTACCTCTAGCTAGCAAAAAATCCCATAGAGGTTCGAACTTGGTTTGACTTGTTTCTTGTTGTATGAAATTTTTCCTCCTTTGCTGAGGGGAAATCGGTATCAATACTGCAAATATTCATTGATGTTGAAATGAATTATTTCTTGCCCTTTAAAATCAGAAGTTAACTATTTAATGTTGCAGATGTTTAAATATTTAATTTTAATTTCAAATAAAAAATTTATAAAATTATACTAAATTGGATATTTTCTTATTGGTAGATTAGATCTACAAAAATTAAAGAGAAAATCACCAGAGTGCTCAGTAGATCATATTACACTTAAATTACTTAGAGTTTCTTGTTTTACAATTCAAACTGTAAAATAGTGTTTCCAATTATACATAACCATTTGGAAGAGAGAACATAATCCTCCATGGCACGAATATCTTACAGACAATCATGATAATATGACAAGTTACAGACATCAAGTTGTTCCCTGAGCAATTTTTATAGGAGAGTAATAAGTACCAGCATGAACCTGAGAAGATAATCTTAGGTCCTACATACATTCTTTTACTTTAATGTTGACAAGAATCTAGTCTGCTGTTGTACGCATTGCAGCAACAGTTGAGACCATGGAGTCTACCCCACATATATTGCGTCCCCTGCAGATCTTGTAATATCCATTCTCACCCCACTTCTCTCCCCAGGAGTTCTTAATGATCCAGTAAGGCTTCTCCTTGAAGCGGATTGGAGCATAACCGGCTGATCCATATCCTACCAGAAGAACTCCATGGTCCAAATGCCTTGAGCAAATATATGGGCACGAAACTCCTCCAATGTATGTCTGCATGAAAACTGCATTGATCCCCACTGCAAGAGGAAAGCAGCATTCCTTTTAACAACATGGTCTCTTATTTCAATTCAACCAACCTGTAAGTGTGAAGTAGAACCTAATGAAGAGAATTGACGAGAAATAGCTAAGTTTACCAGCAAGAGGGCCATTCTTAACCAGATTTGCAGCAATTTGATCCTCGTCAAGGGAAACAACACTGAAGTTTGAAACAGAAGCAACAATTTTACTCTTGTCAAATTTGCAAGGACCGCGGTCAGTCCCAGTATAGGGATAGTCCTCTTCTCTCTCAAGTCCCCCAACCTTCAGTGTGTACTCAAAAGCAGAGGTCATTAGCCCACCGTTACATCCTGAATCACAGGCACCATACTCTTCTGGATCACACTGCATAATTCACATTACGATCAAAATTTGGGAAATGTTGATTGATAAACTCACGAACACAATATGAAATCCATGAACACACGGCAAGAACCGCAAAATCTTGACAATCAATATGCCTTGACTTCAAAAAGTTGCATAAGTGAAATAATTGAAATCTCTAGAGCATTATAGTCAAGTAATCCACAACATCAACCCAATTCCTGTAGGAGTTAGGAATGACGAAGCTCTTTCAAAACGGAAGAAAGCTCAGTTGGTGATTGCATTTAATTTCTCAGTGCAATTCTCTGATGAAACTTAAAAATCTTAATTAAGCAAGTCAAGTACTAGCTTCAAATTACCCTCAAATGCAACCAAAATGCTTTCCATGCCCAAGACTATATCTGATAGTAGGCTTGCATAGATACTATTGAGTATTGATACTAAAAGTTCTACTTCAGGCTCGCCTGGTATGGATGCAGTAACTGAATTTGTCCAATTCAATGTAAAATTCTATTAATTTTAGTATAATTCTTATATATGCACAACAATAACGAACCAAAAATAAAATAAAACGAGAAAACAAGAAATCAGTAAACCTCGTGATCACAATCAACAAGCTGCTGCTCACTCAGGCTCACAAGCTCCCCTGTCTCCAAGTAATGAGCTCCCTCCAACGCTCCAGTCGTACTAAACGACCAGCACGACCCACATGACCCCTATAATTCAAAACAAATGAATAAATCCATTTATAGATTGCTTATATTTGATAAAAATTAAGCAAAGGCTACCTGGTCTTTAACGGCCGTGACAGCCCCATGATCGCGCCAATCGAAGTCCGTGGGAAGGTTGTTGGTCGGGAGAATGGGAGCCTTTTGAGCATCGGATGGAAGATGGAGCTTTTTCAAGCCGAGAAACTGACGGCGGAACTCCGATGGTGTTAAATCGGAGAACTTAGTGACTCCGTGGACGGCGCTTGGGTCCAGGAGCTGATGGCGCTTAGCTCGTCGTAGGTTAGCCTTGAAGATTCTGAAGCGGAAATCGTGCTCCTCCTGAGAAGCGTATGTTTTCCCGTACTTCGATTTGAAGAGGGTGAAATGGTGCTCGGCGTTGAGCAGGTGGTCCTCCGCATCATCTACGACTTCGCGGATCAACGGATCCTCATCCAAAGAGTCGACGGTGGCGACCGCCGACGAAAGGAGCGACGTTAGGAGGAGGAGATACAGAAGAGAGAGGCGGTCCATGGTGGAAGATTAACAACGATAAAGAAACACCGCAAAGCGTGAAGCGAAATGAACCTTGTGCACTGAGCAGAGATATTACAGTGGCTACCGAAAATGTAGTGTGGTAACGATATAGCGACACGTGTTTAAGTTTCATTCGCTGCTCATCTTAAAAGGGAATAAAATAAAGAGTCTAAATTTGATATTTAGTCTATTAATTATCATTCTCTTATCACTTTGGTCTAGAAAATTTTCTCTCTCTCTCATAATAATCTGAAATCCTCAAAAAGTACATCAAAATCGTTTAGCTGTCAAAATTTTCCAATGAAAATAATTAATAATCTTATCTCGTAATTTTACATGACACTAACATGTTCTTTTTATTTTATAAGATATATTAATTAATATATTTACTCAATTAATATTATATAACTGTTTCAAAATTT